AAGACCCCCACATCCATGAATCCTCCGAGAACCGATCAGACCCAAAACGTCTCGGCCATCTATCATTTTCGGTGACTGGCGAACATCCATTTGAAAACGCATCGGGCGGCCGTGGGTTTCGATGCCTCAGCGAAGGCAGCCACGTTAGAAAGCTTGCTGTCGCGCCGCATTTTTTGCCCCGTATAACTAACTGTCTTGCCTACTTGCACTGGGCGAGCTTGGGTCTTAACTTTGGCTAGCGCGTGATCATTGTTCGCCGCTGCCGCGCGTCGGGGGGCAGAAGGGGGCGTATATTTGCGCGCCTGCGACGCCGTCGTCGCAAAATGCGATAGGCTGTTGTTCGGCAGGCAAAACCTTGGCCACATCGGCTGCGGCGGCTGCGAAGCAGAGTTCTGCGCGATGCCCATGCGGAATTATGGGGCAAAATGTATATCCTCATGGCGATAATCCTCGTCTCCGCGATGTCGGGTGCCCAGGCCGATGCTAGGGCGACGATCATGACTGGCTGGTCTGAGATCGCGGTCGTTGGCGCGGCGCGCTCTCCAAGCAATTCCGCGCGCCGCGCTTCCAGACACATGCCTCTGGAACGGCCCGTGGGCGGCCGCCCCGCGGGCGGAGAAGGCTCTTCGATAGGCGTCTCCGCCGGTCGAGCGTCGCCACTTGGGGCAGGGCCGCCCGCGCCCACCACAAACTTCAAGCGGCCCTCGTCGAAACCCGCCATAGGCTTGGGTGACGTCAGGCGCTGCGTCACCCGCGCGCGTGGACCCAAAGATACTGTGAAAGTCGAGCGCAGTGGCATTTGACGCGTAATCGTGGAGCCCTGGTCTTACGTCGCTATGGTAGTGGCCCAGAAAGCAGCTGTCGGCGTTGGTGACAACTGGCAGCCAGGGCATGCACCTTGCAAGTCGGACTGCGACCGCGGTCTCGATGCGAACATATTTTCGGACCAGGTAACGAGAGCATGATGTGCCTTTGGTGGGAGCGTGTTGGCATCGGTCAGGTGGTGCGTATCCGAGGGGCCCCTAGCTTGGTTGATGCGTATCCGAAAGTCATCGCAGGTCTCCGCGCAGGCAGGCTCGCGACGAACGCCACTGCGGTGCGAAGTGCTCTGTTGTCAGAACCAAGTTCCCGAACCATCAACACTTCGATGTACAACGTGCGGCGTCAGTCTGGATACTGAACGGCCACTTCACGCTCGCCGACCCATGCGATCGCTTGGCCACGTTCGGGGTCATTGCGTGCGACTGGGCACGGGCCGTTCCAAACTCCCCTGTCGCCCCTTGTTGTGGCCGGTCGGTGGTATGTCCACCAGGTCGCCATCACAGTTGGGCACTTGCCCTGGTGGCGTCGCGTTAATGTGTAGCGCCCTATTTGTTTTGGGCGGTGCGGTCGCTTGAATAGTGGTTTCTCGGATAATCTCGCGGGACCGTTGTTCCCGTGACCTATCCGACGTATCCGTCTCCTGGTCGTTGTCCAGAATCGGCGGATCTCGTAAAAATGCCAGCCGTCGGCCATACAGCGCTTGGTACGAAAGCGCGCTATTGTAAGGAGCGGGAACGCTGGTCGCAAACGCAGCAAACGGGGAACATGGAACGGTATGTGGTGCAGTTTTAAGCATTCCATCGTGTGCATGGTGTATGTGACGATCCCGCTCATTGATTCTATGATCGAAAACGCGTTGGCCACGTTATCGAATCCGTAACTCTGTGCCTTTATGTTCTGGAACGTCCTCGTTTGTGCAGTTATCCAGAACATCTTCGCTGTCTGGATACACAACTTTGGCTGGACCATGCTGTAACCGCGTGTGGTGGCATGCGACACATACCGAATTCATGCCCTTTTGTCTGGGGTTTCCTGGCACGGCGCGAACCGGACGTAACGGTGTATTAATCCGACGGTGGGGCCCCGCTTGAAAATCTGGTTGAATTGCCCCTCGCTTGTTAATATTAGCCTTGGCGGGCGCCCACCTCCCGCCTTCCGCTGCGCATCCTCCTCCGCGTCCTCCTCGTCCTGCTCGTCCTCCTCCCCCATCCCTTCATCATCATCATCACCATCATCATCATCATCGTCATCACCATCATCACCATCATCATCACCACCATCATCATCATCATCATCATCATCATCATCATCATCATCATCATCATCATCATCATCATCATCATCATCATCATCTTCATCATCTTCATCATCATCATCATCATCATCATCATCATCATCATCATCATCATCGTCGCCCTTCGTATCCTCCTCCTTTTCGGCCCCCCTCCCCCCCTCCATCCTCCCCCTCTCTCCTCCGCCCCCTTTTTGCCTCATCCTCCTTCTCCTCCTCGCCCTCCTCTGCCTCCCCCTCTTCTTCCTCGCCCACCCCCCAATGTCCAGCCTGTTCCCCCCATGAAGACCCCCTCTGCTCTTAAGCCGGGGCAAATCGGTTTTCTTCGGCGCCGTTGCCGCCACGGCCAGCATGGGCGCATTTTCCGATGGCCAAGTCACGAAGCCGTCGGGGCAGTTCAGCGGACGAGGCCGTTAGGGGCAACCCCGCGAGCCACTGGGGCGCGGGAGTCAGCCGTCGGGACAACCCCGCAGGTCCCAACCTAGACAGGGCCGCGTGCACGCGGGGGGTAGCACGAAATCCAATTTTGCCGCGAGCTGTTCCGCCTCAGACATGGATATCACCGTTTTCTTGTCGAACTCCTCGAGCGCCTTCCGCGCGGACGCTGGCGGCCCGCGCTCCAAGAATTCCTGCGTGGGCGGCCGCAAAATCAGCATGTTCCGCTTTCGCGTGGTGCGGGTGAACACGACATAGAAGTGCAACCACAGCTGCTCGTCCGACATCCCCGTGCGGCTAGCGGCCAGCGTCGTCACCGCTAGCGCAGTCGATAATGGCGTCCTTGCGCAGCGTCTGGCCCTGCGACAGCATAGAGGTCAGGTAGGACGCGTGCGTCTGGGTGGATGAAGGGGCCCCAGGACAAACAAATACATACACACAAATGAAAAAAAAAACGCCCAATGTTTTCCCATATTTTGTGGGTTTCTGTGTTCCCCACCACTTCCCATATTTTCCCATATTTCTGGGGAGTCGACGATTATGTGTGTTTCTTTCCCTCCTGAGTGAACCCCGAGCCGCGCAGGACGTGCGTCCCCGAGCTCTGCCAAGTGAGCTCCTGCTCGCTGGGCCTGAACATGATCTGCGGGCCCAAACGGGAGGCCCCCCCCCCGACGAAGACTTCCTCGCAATTCACTCACAGCGAGGCCCCTCCTTCATACTCAAGCCTCAAACGCCCAAAACGTTTACGATAAGTATGAGTTGTCGGAATACATGCCGGGATTACTAACATAATCTGCGGGCCCCACAGGGAGAGGGCACCCGCCAGAGACTCCCTCGCATATCAAACACAGACGAGACTCCCGCTTGATATTTCCTCCATATTCAAGCCTGAGGAGCTCCAAACTGCCGACAAATATAAGTTTTCGGACGACCCGCAAGGATTAGTAACATTATCTGCGGGCCCCATAAGGGGGAGGGCCCCCACCTGAGACTTCCTCGACATTCACTCACGACGAGGATCCCGAATGAGATGTTTTTCGTATGCAGGCGTGAAGACCCCCAAAAGTGACGACAGTGAGAAGTGTGCGGACGACCCGCTCGGATGGCCAACGTGAAGCGCGGGCCCCTAAAGAGAGGGGGCTCCCGCTTGAGACTTCCGCGCAATTCACTCTCAAACGGAGTTCCCGCTTGATATGTCCTCCATGTTCAAGCATGAGGACCCGAAAGGTGACGACAATTACAAGTTTGCGGATGACCCGCTCGGAATGCCAACGTGAAGAACCGGCCCCATAGGGAGGGGGCTCCCGCCTGAGACTTCCTCGCAATCTACTCGCTCGCAAACGAGGTTCCCGCTTGATACTGCCCCCACTTTCAGGCATGAGGATCTCCAAACATGACATTCATAGGTTTGCGGATGACCCGCTCGGATTGCCAACATGAAGTGCGGGGCCCGTAGCGAGAGGGCTCCCGCCTGAGACTTCCTCGCCAATCACTCACAAAAGAGGCTTCCGCTTGACGGTTCCTCCGAACTCAAGCATGAGGACCCCCAGCAAAGACGAATGTAACGGGTTTGCGGGTGACCCGCTCGGATTGCCAACCTGAAGTGCGGGCCCCATAGGGAGGGGGCTCCCGCCTGATACTCCCTCGCAATTCACTCACAGACGAGGTTCCCGCTTGATACTTCCATGTTCAAATATTGGGACCCCCAAAGGTGACGACAGTTACAGATTTGCGGATGACCCGCGCGGATTAGTACCAGTTACAAGTTTTCGGATGACCCGCTCGGATTACCAACATGAAGTGTGGGCCCCAGCTGGAAGGGGCTCCAGCTTGAGAATTCCACACAACTGACTCACATACGAGGTTTCCGCTCGAAACCTCCTCCATGCTCAGGCCAGGGGAGCCCCAAAATTATGATGATGATGATGATGTTGATGATGATCATGACGACGATGACGAGGAGGATGATTAGTGGTGAGTGATGGTGATGACGATGGTGATGATGTTGGCGCTGGTGATGGCCATGGTGTGGTTGCGAGAAAGTGAGTGACGAGCTGAGTACGAATGGGTGAGTGAGTGAGGGAGTGATGATGATGATGATGATGATGATGATGATGATGATGATGGCATGATGGTGATGGCTATGACGGTGATTATGATATCGCAGTGTTGATGTTAACGACGATGATGATGCTGGTAAAATTGATGACGATGACGATGACGATGCTGATGCTGATACTGACGATGATGATGATGATGCTGATGATGATGACGATGACGATGATGATGATGATGATGATGAGGAGGATGCTGCTGATGATGATGGTGGTGGTGATGATGATGATGATGGTGGTGATGATGGTGATGATGATGATGGTGATGACGATGACGATGACGATGATGATGATGATGACGATGACGATGACGATGACGATGACGATGATGATGATGATGATGATGATGATGATGATGATGATGATGATGATGATGATGATGATGATGATGGTGATGGTGATGGCCACCTCAGACCCCGAGCCGGCTCCAACGTGGGGCCAGCACGGTGGCGCCCGTGACAACAACCGCGGCGGAAACTGCGCAGTGTCTGGGCGCACCCGCTCGCCGCCTGCGGCCCACGACCGAGCCTCTCAGAGCTCCGGGCCACGGCCGCCGCGGAGGACGCTCGGGTGCGACGCCAGCAGCTGCTGGCGTGCGCGCCGACGCGGCCAGCTCCCGCTCGACGTCGGCGGCCGCCTCTTAGAGCTCCTTGCTGCCGCCATCGCGGAGGGCGCGAAGGTGCGACGCCAGCAGCTGCTGCCGCGCGCGCAGCGCCGCCAACTCCCGCTCAACGTCGGCGGGCTCGGAGGGCAGGTCCTCGCCCGCGGTGGGCGGGGCCGTCTGGCGGCCCGCGTCCGGCCTCGCGCCCGCGCGCGGCACCGCGGAGAACGCGCCGTCCTCGCGGAAGGCGGCGATGCCCGTTGCCGCGGCCACGGTGCGAGCCACGAACCTCGCGAGGGGCGCGAAGTAGCTGGAGGCTTCCCAGTGGGTGAAGATGTCCTCGGTGAGCCAGTGGTTCCTGGAGGCCTCGTCCTCGCCTGCCAGCTTGAAGGAGAGGTGCGGGTGCAGGAAGTTTGACATCTCGGCGAACTCTGGGACGGTCGCGCCGACACGGTCGGCACCAAGGACCTTCTTCCCGTAGAAGCCCTCGGCATACCTGAACACCCAGGTCAGTCGGGAGTGGTTGTGGTAGCGCTCCTCGAAGAGGTCAAGGGGCACCTCCTCCATGTAGCGGGCCGTCCACTGGCCACTCTCCGCATGCCTCTCGAACACTACCATGTCGCCGAGCGCCTGGAACATCTGGTAGGGGCCCGAGGCCTCGTTGATGCGGCTGCGCAGCTTGAGCACGAGCTCGTCCAGCCCAGCGCAGGGACCTGCGTCTGCAGTGGGAACGTCGAGTGGGATAAGTGTGCTCGGCCACGCTACGCCGTGGTTCTTCTCCTCAAGAAGTCGGAACAGGGCGCGCGCAGAGTACCGGAATCCATGGACGAAGCCCCCAGCTGACCTCCGAAAATCCAGGCTGTGCGTTAGAGTGCCCGCCACGTACAGGCCGGGCACCCCGCGCACTTCCCAGCCCGCCGTGATCTCGGGGTACTTCCCCGCATGAGACGTGCTCACTGGAACGGACGCGTCGAAGATCGAGGTGTCCATTGCCCAGCCGAAGCAGCGGATCACGTGGTCCATGGGGTTGCGGACAGGCTCGAGCGAGTGCTCGCTCCGCAGCGTCGCCAGCGCGTCCACGAGCGCCGGCTTCTCGCGCAGCAGAAACGTGGTGACGCGGAACTCCTCCCAGTCGGTCTCGAAGACCTCCTCGTCGATACCCATCTTCGCCCTCGTCGCCAGCGCTTGCTCCCAGGGCACCGTCATTGGCTCGCCCAGGGGGCCCTCGGGTAGCGTGGTGGGCTCCAGCACCCACTGCGCCACTTCCTCCGCGGAATGCTCAAGCATCAACCGCCGCGCCTGCCAAGAGAGGCTTGAGTTGGCGGGGAACCTGGCGATATCCACCCAGTAGCTGAGGTCCTGGCCCCCAGCATGATGCGCCTCCCTGCACCGGTCGTCGGCACAATCTCCTTCCTGGACCTGCCATATGCATAGCCGGCTGGCATGACACGGGATTACCACCAGCCGCGTCGCTCCCTCAAACATGTTGTAGTCGAAGGTGTCGAGGCTTTTCAGCAGGTAGGTGTCCAAGATCGTGGTTCTTCCTGCACGGATGTCGCCGACGTAGTGCGTCTCGTACGCGAAGCGCACGCCCTTCTCCTTGGTGCCAGGGAGCGGCCGCGAGCGCGCGTAAAGGTGCGTCTCGGCTGCGTACTTCTGCAGCTCCTGCGCGGTCTCCATGGCGGCGTTGCCCAGCCCCAGAATCACCACAGACTTGCCCTCGAAGGCCTCGCCTATCTCCGGGAGCTGCTCGTACCCCATCAAGTGCTTGGCGCCGTCGATCCTCGACTTTGCACCCCTGGGCCTCCACAAACCGGTGGCGATCACCACTTCGCCGCATCCGACCTCGCCGCCATCGGGCCCCGACGACGTGGGCGGCCAGTTGCCGTCTGCCGCCGCGCCCAACGCAAGTGAGAGGACGAAGCCCGAGCGGTCCTCGTCTCGGCGGACGCGCACCACAGTGGTGTTGTACCGTATCTGCTGGGCCTGCTCCTCTGAGAACTCCACCAAATACTCAGCGAGCACGTCTGCGCGGGGGAACAGGTCCCTGCTGCGCTCGGTGACTGGCTGTGTGCGATTAGCGCCCGCGCGAACGTCGAGCAGCGAGTTCCAGTCGTGCCGCAGCGCGAACTCCGCGCTGCGGCCTTCACGAACCCGCCGCTTGTTCAGTGAAATCAGGCCCCGGTGGCGGGGGTACCTCCGGAAGAAGCTGCCAGCGCGCGCGCTGCGCTCGAAGACGGCGTAGTCGCGCCCCGCGTGCTTCAGGAAGTGCCCCAACTGCAAGCCGGCGGGGCCTCACAATGGTTCTTGGAAGCGCTCGTGAACAATTGTTTTTCCGTCTATGCGTTGCCGTGTTTTGTTTCCAGATCCGGCGCTTTGTTTTTCTGGCTTCATCGCCGTTTTGATTCCTGCTTGCAGCTCTGGTTCCGATCCCAGAGCCGATGCTTTGTCCGTTGCGGCGAGTTTGTCATTTTATTTCGTATTAATTCTCGAGATCAAGATCTGTGGAAATGGTAAGAAACGGCCCTGCCGCATCCAAGAACCACTAGTAGGTGGTGGCATCCGAGCCCTACCCCCTCCAACCATTGATTCTCCTGAATCGATGGGAGGTGGGGGTAGGCTTCGGATCTCGCCTTGTGCTTGACGAATTCCGAACCCTACCCCCCCGAATGCTTCGCAGCCGAACTGAGGGCGGGGCCGGCGCCAATGATGCAGTAGGCGTGGTGCTCCCGCGGCGGCGCGCTCGCCAGGGTGGCGCCCGCAAGCGCCATCCACAGGGCCACGGCGCAGGCGCTGGGGCGCGCCGCGGGCATGGCGCTCGGCCCCCGCAGGGCAAGCCCGGGCCCTGAGCCACGGACGGCTACGGATGGGACGCACAGGGACTCACTGGTCAGAGTGAGAGGGCAGAACGTTCATTCACTGTCGCTGGGTGCGTGGCCGAGGTAACGTTCCGCGGTGCTGACTCTTGCGTTGCGTTGCGTTTCGTTGCGTTGTTGCCGTCGTCCATCTCGCGACCCGGCGCGCGACCCACCCGCGATCCGACCGCGACCCACCCGCGACCCACCCCTTCACTCTTATCCGCGACTGCAGGGTGCTACATACAATGTGCCTCTGTTGGAGACGCACGTGCGACCCGAGCAAATAACACATACGCAATCTCGTGGTACATGGTTTCCCGAGCAATATGGCCAAAAAGCGCCCGCCATGGAACTCATGCGAAAAGATTTCCGAGCGTGCGCATCACCCTTGCGTGGCCGACGCGCCGACAGTATGAGCATGTTTGGGTGGTGCCGAGCGGAGGGTCCCACAGGTGAGGGAGAGAGAGAGGAGCGGACGGGGTTTTCGAGAGATGTTGATGGGAATCGGGGGAGGCTGTGGAGGGGGAGCTCGGGCACTGGAACGAAGTGCTGGTCGTCGCCACTCTTGGATTTTGACTCGTGCCACAATCGATCGAGGGATGGGGGATTCGGACAGGTCGGCCACGGCGATGTAGATTCTGCCCTCCGGGGGCGAGATCCGTCTCGTGCAGGGTTTCCTGGGGCTCCTGGTGCAAGGTGCGCCTGTTTGAAAAAATGGAATCAGCCCCTCGCCGTGCACATAGGAAGAATATAACCAGGCTCTGGACCAACGACGCCCCAGTGGGCAAAGCAGAAACCTCGGCTGATTGGTCAGGCTCTGCATCCTGCGGTGGCGGCATGTACCCTTAGGGGACAACGACTCCGACGAGGAGTATCCATCGACAACTCTCACTTGCTCGGTACGCCGTCGGTCGTGGCTGTGAGAGCACTGCGCTACGTTCACGCTGTAGTTTCGCTGCTGGCGGATACAAGGCTGCGCCATGGGCACGCGACGTGCGTTAAGCGCGATCACGGAACAAAGAGTCGAATGCCGACGAATCTCTGCAGTGAAGAGAATATACGCCCAACGCAAACACAACCCCACCCAAGGGTTGCTAACCTATGGGAAACGCGAATGCTAAAGCGCCTCCAGGCATTCCGATTACTATCGAGATGCGCCCTGTGCTCGTCGACGGAACGGTGGGGTGCGTTCAGTCGTGGAACTCGCCGAAGGGAACGACTTGCGACCCCTCCCCGCGCGCCCAGGACAGGTCGCACACCCCCGCAAACAGGCGCGACCCTTTGAGCCAAGGGCGAAGGCATCCCCGATCCCACACTGTCACTACGAGGCCAACGCAATCCGGGCCGCGGTGCACCACGGGGGGAAGCCCAGGCCAGAGCTGCGGCTGCCCGGCTGCTTCTGCAGGGCATTGGTGGTCCAGCACGAATCTCGATCCCATCTGCTCTGTGATGCTTGGCGGTGTACCACTGCTCGCTCTCAGGGACTTTACACATCCCTTTCCGCCCTTTCGCTTCCGACATACCAGCGGGGTCCTGAAAAAGGTCCCAAGATTGTTCGAGGCAGCCCTCGGAGAGGCCCACGGGCCTCGCAAAGGCCCAACACAACGGCCTTCATGAACATCGCAAGAAAGGCCACCGGACGGCTCCATGGGGCGATCGCCTCGGCTCCAGAGTGGCAATCGTGCCTGACCGCATGCCCCCAATCCGCCAAAATGCCCCGCCCAAAAAAACCCAAAGGGAGCCGCGAGAGGGCCCGAATGTCTAGAAAAAACAATGCCTCCAACATGACCCTAAGAAGCCCTAAGAAACCCCCAAGTTGATAATTATTGAAGGCCGGTGAGCCCGACTCGAGCCTCGATTTGACTAGTATGCCCCCTTCCTGCTTGGCAAGTGCTGCCCCGCATCCTCTCTCACGATATTTCGCTTTGGAAAAAGGTTCTGCGTGAGCTGGTGGGGATAATCACTTTTTGGTACGCGGGCGCGCGAAGCGAGCCGAACGCCGCGCAAGCAGATCAGGGCGTGCCACTAGCTATGGAAAGCAGAATAGCGAGCAACGCCATGCACTGAGCTGGACAGACTTCAGCGACGCCAAAATGGCGCGGACGGCACCACGCGGCGCCGGGAACACGTCCATGTGGGTGCCGACATGGAAGCAGACACAAAAGAAGAGCGTCCCACGGCGACCGTGGATGAATGCCACACTAACCCATGACGGCGGCGACCAGACAGGGAACGGGCGAAACGGGCCAACGTCTCCCCAGGTACCTTGCCGAACGCGTAACATAGGACCCAGTAGGTCTCCACGACGTAGACCAGCGAACGGACCAGCAAGAAAACCGAAAGCGCCAACGAGACGAACAGGAACGGCGGGCGAAAGACAGTCGTAGAAGCACACGGCCCAGGAACCGTGTAGAATGCGCAGAGGAACGCCGACACGTAGGAGACAAACATCGCGAAGAAGGAACGGAGGACAAGCGGGCTGCGGGGTTGGCCGGGCCGCGGCCGCTCCGCGCCCTCCAGCGGGCAGATCAGAGGCCCCCAGGGCAAGGGCCAGCACAAGCAGCCAGACTGCACATGCTGAGCAGGGAGAGGGGCCACCTCTCGCCGGCAAGGAGCTTCAGCGCGACCAGGGGCAGCGCGCGTCGGGCTGCCATCGGCGCGGCTGGAAGCTGCGAAACAGGGCCAGCAGTGACGGAACAATGGGTACTGATGAGCGGCAGCTGATCGCTGCAAATGCACGGAGGACACGATGGAAGGCCATGGCGAAATCCAGGAGCAGCTGATCGCTGCAAAACCATGGACAATGGAACCGAGTACAGAACCCCAGGAAACGAAGCAGGATGCGATGCTAAGCCCAGGGGCGTTCCCCCCCAGGTATCCTGGAGCGCGGCCGCCAGCCTGGACCAAGGGCGCCTGTCTCTGCCGCGGGGCATCGCCTTCCTTGCCCGCGCCATCGCCGCGCCACAGGTACCGCTCGCGCAGCTGTTTCCAATCGACCCCGAGGTGGAGCGCGTCGCCCATGGACCACGCGCCCCCTCTGCGGCGGCGGAAGGAGTCCAAGGGGCTGACGCGCGCTTGCTGTTCGTGCTGGACGAAGGCTGCTCTGAAGCTGGGCGAGGCGTGCCTCTGGGCAAGCGCGCGCCAAGCGCCTGTGAACATCGCCCCCAGGGCGACCTGGAGTCGCTTGATGTTTCTGCCCGGGGGGCCCAGTGAACGTCCCGCCGCGCGCCTTCGATCCTGCCTTTGTGAAGCGGCTTTCCCGTGTCCGGATCCAAGGGTTCAGGCCGCCGGCGGACGGCGCGCCGCCCGTCCCCGTCGGGCTGCCGCCTGCTGCTGCCGCTGCTGCTGCTGCCGCCGTGCTCGCCGCCTGTCACCTGTCGCCTGTCAGACCCCGCCAGGCCGCCAACGTTGCCGGGCACCAGGTTCCGCCCAGCGGGCGGCGAAGGGGCTGCGGGATCGCCGGTTCTCCGGGCAAGGCCCGGTGTCCAGCCGCTTCCAGGCAAATGCGCCAGCCTCTCGCGCTGGCCGCAGCGCCACCGCTCCGTGACGCTGGGACTCGCACAGTTGCAAGGGAGGGCGGCGTCAAGATGGAGCGCGCCGCCCGCGCGTCGCTGCCGCGGGCTGGGGGGTCAGTCGAGGAAGCGCGCGGGCGCGTGGTCGCCTGCCCCTGCTTGCCAGGCGCCCCCGGCTTCTGTTCCAACGCCTGCGCAGCCCCAAGGTCGACGGCGTCGGCGTCGGCGTCGACGTCGTTATCGTCGTCGTCGTCGTCAGCGTCGGCGTCGGCGCCGGCGTCAGCGTCGGCGACGCCGACGACGTCGGGGTCGTCGGCATCGGCGTCGGCGTCGTCGTCGGCGTCGGCGTCGGCGGCGGCGTCGGCGTCGGCGTCCGCGTCGGAAGCGGGGTCGGCGCCCGCGTCAGTCGGCACGGGTGGCGGGGCTCTGCCACAGGGGCCCAGCGCGCCCCCCAGGTCTCCGTCGAGGCACCGGCCGCGCGGGGATGGAGGGTCAGTCGAGGAAGTGCGTGGGCGGGTGGTCGCCTGCTCCTGCTCGTCTGGCGATCCCTGGCTTCTGCTCCAACGCCTGCTCTGTCCCCTGGTCGTCGGCGTCGGCGTCGGCGTCGTCGGCGTCGTCGTCGTCGTCGTCGTCGGCGCCCCCGTTGGCGTCGTCGTCGGCGTTGGCGTCGCCTGCGTCGGCGTCGTCGGTTTCTCGTCGGCGGGGGGGGGGGGGGCAGGCCGCGCTCGCGCCAATGCAACCGGCGGCGGCTGACGGCGCAGAGGGGCCTCGCGCGCCCCAAAACAACGGCCGCGCAGCGCCGCCCTCCCCCACCTCCTCCGCAGGGGGGCCGTCGTCTCCAGGCGGGCGCCTCATCGTCGCAAGTGTCCCGAGCGAACCCCCCCCAGGTAGGCGACTGATCGTCGCGACTGCCCTGCGCGCACCCCCCGGGCAGGCGACTGATCGTCGCGAATTCGCCCTGCCCTGAGAAGCGGGGGGGGGCATCGTCTCCTGGCAGGCGACTGGCCGTCGCAAGTTTTCTCTGTGAATCATCCCCAGGCAGGCGAGTGATCATCGCAAGCGCCCCGCGTAAATCTTCCCCAACTAGGCGACTGATCGTCGCAAATTTACTAGTTGGAGAAACGGGGGGGGCATCATCTCCAGGCAGGCGAGTGATCGTCGCAAATGTTCTCTGCGCATCACCCCCAGGTAGGCGACTTGCCGCCTCATGATGCGGAAGGTCTGCGCCAGGCCAACCAGGCCCTGACGGGCCCAGCGACGCGCTAGGCCCAGCAAGCAAACAGCGTCTCTCTCCGTCCGGCGGCGCAGGAGGCCGGGGACAGCCCAGGACGTTGGCGCGGTCGCCGCGCGTGAAACAAGTCAAGTTGCCACGGCTGAACACGCCGACGATCGCAATCGTGGCCCAACGAACGGCGGCGATCAGGGCTGCCGACTCCCTCTGTTTCCCGGCAGCGCGGCTGGCCGTTATTATCTCCTGGAAGCCGAGGTCGCC